GAGGGGAAAAAACGTATTTCGCCAAATCGATTTTTACGCCCCACCGACCGATTTCGACAGTGCAATTCGACAATGCCCCCCGACCCCGCTTCACATCCACACTCGCAACTCCTTTAACCCAGCAGCAGCAGCACCGAACCCCGGACCGAGTCGGCAGAGATTTACTCTCTTTAGATACAATATAATATATATATATTAGTATATATAGGTATATATAATACAGTTGGGCTCGCGGAATGACCCGGAGAGCTGCTTGCGTTCCGGACCCCGCGATACGCGTGGCTCAAGTCTCGAAGCCAAAAATCCAATGGCCCGCGATATCGTCGCATGTGGGATTGAATAGGTTTTCGCAAACCTCGACTTACGCGCGTGTATCATTTGATGTACATATACCTATATATTATTATAGCCATAATATCGTCGTACAGTGTACACGTGTAAGTGTGTAACGCGTGGTCGGGAATACATATATATATATATATTTAGCACACTCTCGCACAATATATAATAATATGTTCGTTCGAAAATATATTATATGAAGCGTAATTAAGCGTAAAAGTCGTGTGCGTTCGAGCATCTCGCTTTCCCTTCGTCTGTATATATTATAATATATATATATATATATATAGATATATATGTACAAACGGCCGTACAACAATATAATAATATATTAACATTCGACAACGTGCGACCAACTGTACATAACACGTACTATAATACACGTACGACGTACCTAACTAATACAGTACGCACCTATATAATGTACTAATAATTCGCGTTTGTTGAAAACATCGTGTTGGAAACCAAACAATCCATAGTTTTTTACGACCACCTAGTACGCACCAACCACGAAATCAAACGTTAATAGACAGTACTTATAATAATAATATAAATAAAAACACAATTAAGACGTCTCTTCGGATTTTGACTATTTTTTCCATTTATAGCTTCAATTTGTTTTTACTTATAATTATTACCTATAGCTGTATACTAAATTGTTGTGCTTTATTGACTGCAGCATTAAAATATAATTTATGTGTAGCTACCTACTGCCTATTGGGATAAAAGTACAAAAATTATAACCAAATAATCGTAATATATGTGTGTGATATTAAATTAAACATCTATTAAAATTCCTTTATTCTGATGATGATTAAATAACTTTATAACTTTTATGGCTTAATATTTTTTTTTTAATTCAATTAGAATCTGATCTGCTTCTAAAATAAAATATTTATGTATCTATCCAGTCCTAGGCTAATATGGAAAATAAATTACACGGTGGTCGAGTGCAATCAACTAGAAAAATTAATAATTTCACCACTCACATCAACTTCTCAATACAAATTAATGTAATATATGTATTCTATTTTCATTGAATTTTCCATTCGATCAAAATATTAATAAAGAATAATAAAAACTAATAGAGTAGGCACTAGGTTAATTGAATCAAAATGACCTGCACCAAAATGATGCTATCACATAAAGTGGAATTCAATGATATATTATATTATTATAGTTATATGTGTACACAATTATTCTGGTTTCGATTATTCACGTCCATACAATTATAATCGTTTGATAATATAAGTCACTCTTATCAGAGATTTCATACATACAGAAAAAGGAAATAATAAGACTTTTTTACACTCAATAGCGATATTATTGCATTCGTCGTTGGGCACCTATACCAATCAATAATATGTGGCAGGTCCACGATACGATTTTCCTACACCGAGCAGAAAAATAAACGGTTTTGTCGGTTTTTAAGGTGCGTGTTTGGTTTTTATTGTTGTAGATAAGTCAAACAAAGTATTATTGAGTCAAAGTGAGACACACAGCCACACAGGCGTCCAGGAAATAGCGCATCGTTTACATAAATAGTGATCCATACAATACTATAAGTATGCGTTATAATTGAGCTAAAATCATTAATCTTTATCACCGAACCGCCCGACTTCATTTATATTCAGTACGCATTTATCCGCATTTTTTCTCTAAAAGACTGTCTTTGCATCTACACGATGCAGCGCTGTAGTGTTATACAAAAATAATATATGTATAAGTTTTAGAGTTCACGCTAGTTGCAGTCGATTGGATTTTTAATTTTAACAATTTTGTTTCCGTAAATGTATTTTAAGTATATATTATCATGATTATAATAGTCGTATAGAGTTTTCGGAGAGTTGATTGTGTGAACTGTGCGTAAATAATATACCGGTACAAACGCATGGCTAGGGATTGGGGCGTCAAACCGTCTACCCTTCTCCGAACTCAATCCGTAACAAACAGTTAGGGTCGGTGCGGCTCGTGCTCGGAATCAAAATACACCCTTACAATATAACAATCATCATCATCGTCATGCATTATACCGTTTGATCGGGAAAAAAAAATTGGCGGCCTTGTAAAATGAATTCCAAAAAATAACACCAATATTAAGCTCAAACGATACAGTCAGACACTTTATAAATAAAACTGCAGAACAGCTCTTATATGGATAATATTTCTACCAGGAGTGCTACTTAACGAGCATTTTCTATTGTTTACCGGATTACAGTCACAAATACCCGTTTACCATCATACTTAATATTTTTGATAATAATATCTATACAATTTTATTATAACATCTGTTTACTTTTAACATGGAAATAATATTTTAACAAAACAACTATTGTAATTAATAAAGCTCGGGGGCAGCTGCACTACAAGAAAACTATCGATAAAATTGATTGCAATATATTGCAGTATTATATTTTAGTCACTAAAATGTTTTATGGTTTTAATTAAAAATGAAACCTAAATTCAACAATAATCATGTAGTTTAATTTGATTCCCATTAAAATATGGCAATACTATAATGTCATGTTTAATGCTGTAAACGTGAGGAATAGAAATTAGTTCGGTACCTATTCTTTGGTGATCTGTGACGCGGATTTTCCATTAAATTGTTGTTATTATTATCTCTTATTTTATAGTTCTATAGTCACATCAATGTACAGGTACTTGTTAACTAAAATAACTTAAATACATTTATACGCGAGTTCACGAAAAAGTCTTACGATTCGGTGATAAATTAGGGTGCTACGCATTTTTTTCAAATGGTATGGCTCATAATTCATAAAATATCAGCAAAAACTGAAAACAATGTCAGTATAATTTTATGAACACAAACAAAATGCAATATGATTAAGGAATCTCATAAGTTTGAAAACATCGCATTAAGAAAGATCATGAATAAATCCTAATTTTTGCTATTTGCAAGAAACAGATTTGTAGCTTACCAGGCAATGGAAATATGGATTGATAGAAAAATCAAGCAAGTACAATATTTTTTGAGCCCTAATACTCATTTACCTACTAGTGTTATATTATTACATTAATATTATCATTATTCATTGTATAAATCACAAAATAAATTACGAGTTTGTTGTGTTTTTTTTCAAACCACAGATCATAATATAGGTACACTGATTAATGATTAATAATTGTATATTTTATAAATTTGTAATACGTAAACAATAGTATATTTTCCCGGGATTCATATTGATTGAAAATGTTGTTGCAAACTGAGGTACTATAATTTGTAGATATTATTTGGAATTGTTAAAGTGCAATAATTATCCGTAGATTTTAAGTGTTCCTAGTCTATTTAAGAATGCAATGAATAAATTATGACATTTATTTGAAAAAAAAAATATATTTTTCTAATAGCCACTAAATAATGTATCTAGAAGAATTGATAAGAATTGTATTAATTCTGTTTACTTACAGTTGTAAGATAAAGTTGATTTTTGATTATTTAATTTTGTATTTAACTTTTTTTTAATCAATAATATAATAATGTATGTCCGTATCATGTAAATCAACCAAACAAAGACATTATAGAACTAAGGGTTATTAAAGCAATACGTATATAATTTGTATTCACAACAAAATACCGAATGTTCCGCAATCGTCGACTGTCGAGATAATTTACTTATGAAATGTCAAAAAATATTTACGAGTATTTTAATTTTATGATGTGAATAATCGCAACAACTGAACATCATATTATCATATTTAGTACAACAATCTGCTGTTTGTCAAGTACAAGATTCATATTTATACCACTTAGCCCGTTAGCCGTTCGCAGACTTCATAGAAAACCTATTTCATTGAGTGAAAGTACAAAATATAAATATATTAGTATTGTTGTCGTATACGATTTTGCAATCCTAATCGTCGGAACCTATTCAAATACGCCAAGAGATTGAAAGTCACCGCAGTATTAGAGATACCTGTAGCAAAATGTGTTAGGGTCTAGGAATGCCTTGAACTAATTTATACCTATACTCTCTACTCAGGGTGAGATAATTTTGTGTGGGCTTGTTATTGGTCGGTCAGTTAATAGGACGTGTATCGCGACTAAACGAACTTTTTTCACTTTTTTTTTTTTACTTTTGTAATGATTATTATTATGATATTATAATAAAATATATTATACGAGTACACCAGTGTTGTTTACACCTTAGATTGTAGAACAGTGGTCAGGTTATAGAAATAAAATAAGAAAACCATCGATACAGCCGAATTCCCATGTCCCTATACCTATAAAATAGAGCAGGTATCTACATGATTTCCTAGACGACTTCTAATTTGAAATCACCGTACGGTATACAAAGCTGTATATTTGGAGTTTGGACATAGACTACCGAGATTGATTTTTCCAAGTCGAAAAACAGAGCAAACTTAGCGTCCACATAAAAATAATATAATATTATAATACATCCGCGGATATCATCCATCAGCATTACAATATTGAAGTATTGAAGTGTTAAATTATTATCTGCTGTGTGCTTCAGTAGAAGTCGTAAACGTGTGTTCTGTTAAAAAGCACCACCTAGTGGCTTCTTTTTCAAAATTTCATTTGGCACCCGGCAACCCCGGAAAATCGCTAAATTTTAGTAAAAAAAAACAGAGCGCAATTTATACTTCTGTTATTGTTATAATATAACTATTACAATGTGCGCAGTTCGAACCGTTCGTTTGACCGACCATTAACATTCTGTTGAGAGATTTCTACTATACGTTCTGGTAACCACGGCGCTGTTGCTGCGGGTCATATAGCGCCACCGTTTTTATACAGATAACAAATCCTGCAATCGTGTTCCGCACCTGTCGCGAGTCACGACCGAATTCCGCGGGCTTCGGTCCTGGCAGATTATTCCGCATTATATTATTTTTTATCATAACAATATAGATACGAGAATGAAACCGAAACAATTACAACGACAACAACGAAAACAACAAAAACAACAGCGTTAACAGAGAAAATCGCCACTCACATTGTCCGTCTCGGCGATCCGTTTCGGCGGCTTCGGCGGCGGCGGCTGCAGAGTCCCGCGCGTCTCGGTCGTGTCGCGATGCGCGCGCGTCCGTCACGTACTGAAAAGCGGCGGCGGCAGACTCGCTCGGTAGCCTTTTACCCACTTTCCCGCCCGCCCCGACGCGACCACCACCGTATCCCACCCACTCGCGGCACGGCCACCCGGCCACCCACCCACGCCAGACCGTCTCGTCGAGCGGCCGCTGCACGGCACGCGCGGCGCAGTACAAAGCCGCGCGTAGTACGGCTCGCGTAGTATATACCATCGGCGGCGGCGGCCGTAGCGTAATACGACCTACCTGCCTCTGCCGCCGCCGCCACGACCACCGCCTCCACCTAAGCCTCCACCACCAACGACACCGCCGCCGCTGCCGCCAAACATGCGCCATTCTGTCTATATCAAGTCTTCTACTACGGTGCACACTACTACTACTACTATTACTACTACTACAACTACTACTACTACTACTACTACTACCATCACGCTACTGTTATATACGTGTACTATATACACAAGCGAGCGCACGCGCATCAGTACACGATCGTACCGAACCTATGTATATACACATGATATAGTACGCGTGTGTATATCATGTCCGTTTAGTCCGTAGGTATATATATGTACTAGTATAATAGTACTTTGATCTCTCGTACTTTGTAATTTTTTAACTCGTGAGGGCGCTAAATCGCAAGTTGTAACCGAAGGATAATGTATAGAATAATAATATTATACATGCAATGTACCACTGTATTTTAATTATACCAGTATACCGTAGCTATTGCACCCCCCTTAATTATTTTATATTTTTTCTCTTATTACAGTTTGGGCTGCATATCATAATAATAATAGAATACAAAGAAACAACTGATGTTATTAACACACATTAAATGCAATAATATTATGTGAATCTGTATGATAAATGATTTGTAATTTATTCTATTCGTTAAAAGTTTAATTTTGCACATTTTCATCCCACGGTTGCTCGCGTATGCAATTTATCATAACGTATTATATTATTGCTTCGATTCTAGCAATCTATAAACGACATCAAAATATCACTTGGGCCTACATTATGTTATTTGACGACCATCCATTGGCGTTGGTTATTATCGGCAAAAAAATTGACCATGAATGATGAAGGCCGATGATGTTCGTTGTTATTATGATATTGAGAGAAAAGTAGGCACTCTCAACATAGATTTGTGCAGCAGTTTATGAACCACTACTTAATTACCAGAGATACAATGTAATATAAATTGTACTGCAGTATAGGCTAGTGAGTGCAGTGAGTGAATTATACATTTCTACCATAATCATATTATAAAACTAAAGTAAAAACACTGTGTGCCCCACACCAAACATTCAAAAAAAAAAATAGTGGCTGTAGCACTGCAATTTGCGTGTTGCGCGATGACGACATCCACTGACAAACTTGCGCGCCAGTGCACCGGTCAGTGGCTCACGGGTGTTTGTCGTCGTCGGCGCCGCGGTGGCTGCTGCGCTTATTGCCTTTTTGCTCGACGGCGCGCCGTCCGGAGATGGGTCGCACGGCTTATTTCCGTTTTTACGGGACACCGCGGCCGCCCGGAACAATGGCCGCGGCGATTGAATTTCTCGTGCGTTCACGGAGAAGTACATCTCCCACCCAGCCCCTCCCCCCTAACGCTGCAAAAAGTATTCGTTCGCTTAACATACTATATTCATTTAGTTATAGAAATTTCAATTTTGAAATTATCATCGACAAACTCGAGAAATAAAAAATAAGTCCATAGAGGAACTATTATAAGTTCACGGAGCCCCGCGTCAAGTGGTCCGATCGTTGTCAAAAAAATTGTATAGATGACTTTTTTGTTTTAGTATCAGGTATATGCATACTCTACACCTTCCGAAATTGAAGTGATAAAAACATATTATATTATTATATTCTGCATAGTAAGTATTGTGTTTCAGGAGTTATGTACCACGTGAGCATAAGACGTAGGCAAGATATGGAGGTGGAGGTGTTTTTACGTGATCGCTATAGGTAGTTCCTATAATATTATATTATATAAATACATCTTGTAAAGATAGCCTAGAAATGCAGAAAACAGCAGAAATATTATAACATACCTGGACTGGAGAGTTATTTTATTTAATTGTGTCAGTATAATATTTTAATATTAAAACGCCTTTTAAATAAATGTTTACTATTATTGTAACAATTAATAATAAATAAAGGTGGTTTCAAATTAAGTGATGACATAATTATAATATTATGTGTCCTATACCGATATCGCTCTGTACAGGTTTCATATCAATATTCAGCGTTGCAGATACCACGGTATTTCGTCGCTGAAGATAAAAGAAGACTGATAGTAAAGCGTCAATCGATAATTATTATATAATGTACGATTCAGATTAATATTTATTAAATATTTTATTGAAACCTATGCACGTCCGCAGGTAGGTATTTAATTTTATTCTGTCTCAATTACTAACCGCATAAATTGTGTTAACATTTATAAATCAATTACAAATATTATTGAGTTGTAAACTTTACTCCGAGAAGAGAAATACGATGAGCATAATAGTACTTGAGCTCAAATGTATTCCTATAGGTTAGGTTAGGTTTTCATACTTAACCTATCAAACAGTTAAATAATACCTGGTATCATATTATACCATGGTGTTTCTTGTAAGAGGAATAAAATGGAAGAAGCAGCCTCCAGTCTATAGTCATCACAGAATTGGTGCAAATAGAGGGACTTCAGGGGCTAAGTCTCGCCCCCAAAAAAAATTTACTCTACTTATAAACTCCACCAAACGTTTCCTACATTTTTTTGAAGCTTATTCAATATTATTATAGTAGTTTTATCACTCCCCCTCCCAAATCACTAAAGCCATTTAAGCCTATAAACATCACAGTGTAATTGTTTTAACAATGGAAAAATCTTAAAACAGTGGTCGTTGTCTTTAATATAACCATGACCGAATTTTGGGTCAATTGTGCTTCAGAATTGAGTTGCGATATGCTTTATACTTTATAGTAACTAAAAAATATATGGTTGAACATTTAAAATGTACTTCATTTAATTTTACAAAGAAAATAAATTAATCATAGCAATTATATAATACTAAATTAATTAAAAAGTATTCCGTTTTTATACATAAAACCGTATTTTTCAAAATGTTTATTTTTTTTAACATATGAGTTGCAATTGCAAAAATTAAATAATAACTAAAATGGGTCGTGGATTATCAGTGATCACTACCACCGCGATAACCCGCATTGTTTTGGTGTAATTACATTTTGATATTTACGTCATAATTCTATTCATAATTTAATTAATAATTATCTTTTACTATTTACTAATTACTAAGTTTATAGTTTATAAATGAAATTATGTGTCCAGGAATTTGAATATAATTAAAAATTAATTGATAAAATGTTAATTGGTTTTGATACTTCTTTACCTTTTTGATTAATTAAATGATTTGATTCTGTACTAAAATATCCTTTTCTAAATTTTTTGATTACCAGTAATTGTTTACTGTTTTTCAAAATTGAAACTCTAGAACTTGAGAGCGGTTATCAACCCAAAAATTTGTCATGGTCACCGGTTGTAAGGAAAAATCTGTTACCGATTTCAAGCCCCGCAGGCTGCAAGTATTCTTCAAAAATAGTTCGTTTTCCCGTGGAGTAGAGGGCCTTCATTTCAGCTTTTTGATTGTTAGTGAAAAAATGTTTGCAGGCCATTTGAAATCATTAAATGTTATATTTTAACAACATTTTAGTATGAGACACAACGATCGACGACTCTTTTTCAAACAATAAAATATGCATAGTTATTACCTATATTCATATCCATTTCATATGACATATATTGTGCAATATTAGAATCCTAAGAAATCCTTGTATACGATAATAATGTTTAATAAATAATAGATAATAGTATAAAGTATAACCATACCGTATATCGCTGTTAAAGTATTCTTATTCAGTATTTAAATTTATCATCCTTATCGTATAATATAGTTTTGTAATTGTAATATGCCGTTGATTCATCATTCCCGCATTAACGATTGAACATAATATTATAATCATATTCAACATAATATAATATCTAATTAGATTCGATTCTAATGACTGTAATATTATAGTGACTTATATAGTTTTTTTCGATTTCCCAAAAAGTGAACATGTACAATGCTCCCAGGTATTACTCAATTTGGGAATACTATTCAGTCTGAAGGGTCTGTTAGCTGACGAGTCTCGGTCGTGGCCGGATGCCCTTATATTATGTTGAACACCTAAACGTCGTGGGGTGGATTTGAATGATGACCGATCAATCAATGTTATTATTAATATTACAGCAGTAAAGTTTGACGCTTTAATGTATATTATAAAGTATAATGATTGTTATACACTTGTACTAACAAATTACTAATTAGAGGGACATGTTAAGGTACACGTGTATTATAAAATACATCAATATATCATGTGTTTGACTCATAATAATATGCTGTCATGTTTTTAAATATTATGCTATTCTGTATATCATTATTTAAAAAATTAATGTAATATGTAAATATATTTATAGATAATGTACTGTTACGTCCAATGGTCACAGACGCCGAGGATAGTTTGTTTAATAAAAAAAAATATGCTGTCAGTTATGTACGTACCTATGCGTTTTATACTGATAAAATATGCTCTATAGTATAGAGTCTATACTGTACAGTAATATAATAAACGTATAATTTAAATTGTTATATGTTTGGTACTGGGTAGACGGCTGCATCTGTATCGGGTCACGGAATACAGAATTTTTACCTGTTAGATCTTGAATTATTTTAGGTGCCTAATACATATTATTATACACTTAAGTTGGGTCCCGGATTTGTTTCTGTAATATAATATTTGGTTGTTGGGTCCCGGATTTGTATGCTCAATACATGTTTAAAATAGAGCGGCAGTCGACTTACACAACATTGTCTCCAGTAGTTGAACTGGTTTATAGAATAAATATAATATTAAAATCATAGTAGAACATAATTTAACATTTTCCGGATAATACTTGTACATATAACAGGTAAGGGTAGGTATTTATAAGTATATAATTATAGTGTATTACCTAAAAAAAATTGTTTTACTTTTGAATTTTTTTTTTAGTTTTATTTATTTAAGTTGTTGGTAAATTCAATATTAGAAATAAAGAAAACTGGAGAAACAAATAAAAGTTATGAAGAAAATATTTGTTAAATTCAAAATTGGGACTTATGACATTTCTATAATATTTTATTAAAATGAATAATAAATTGAAACTAGGTAAATCATATGAGTATAGGAGTCTGCGGACAAGCGTCCAAGTGTGGACATTTTTCTTTTGAATAAAATGATATGTTAAATCCTTAGTATTTGTTTTTCTTGTACTATAAATTACAACTTCTTTCCACTATATAATTACATAATGCATTTACGACAAATAATCGCGATCAGATAATTAACACTTACCATAATGTATTTTTAAATAGGTATAAAACAATTTACGGTCGTTTATTTTTAAAAATGGAATAAATATCTTTTGGTATTATTATATTGTGTTGCAAAATAACAGTAACGCAGAATAGTGAATGAAATAATAATTTAAACAACTATATAAATTCTCGATCGTAAGTGAACAGTATTTTGTTAAAGGAAAGGTCGCACCGTTTCCTTTTCCTTTGTTGTTTATGATGAAGGTTTCATAACCGCAGTGTTGGTTGCCAATTTTTGTACTTTTCACGTGAGACTACGTATAGAAGTTGATTTCCAGACCTAAAACATTATGTGTACAATATCTTTATGATATCTTTAATATCTAGTCGATTTTCATGTACATACAGAAATATTATAAATATTATGAATAATTATACTATTAAATATTTATTCATTAGTTAATAATGCTAATCTACTCAAGTGTACAGACTTGAGTTAGGGTTAAGATTCATAGGTAGGAAGAAATTATGTCAACCAAAATTAAAATAATAAACTACTCTTTTCAGATATTTTAAATTAATCAAATTTAAATTAAAAATATCCATTAAAAATAAAAATACTAAATTACTAATTGCAGTTACATTCCCAGTAACCTGAAATTTCATTAGGTTTTGATAGACATGAAACTACGACGATGTGTATCTAAATTGTCTATCCAAAACGCCGTGTTACACAATTTGTATTGTAAGATGTGTAAGACTATTATATCAGCTAAGCTAGAAAACTTGTAAAACTTAGACTTAACGGATCATAATTTTGAAAAATGATTGCGGGTTAATGACAAGTTTACTACGTCTTAACTGAAGCAAATTTAATATTCCTTTTATAACAGAAATATTCAAATATCAATGGTGTTTGTGTGTTCAAATTGATTATTACATAAGCATATTCAAATAATTATAAAATCAAAATCCATCAAATCAAAGTACTAAGGTCTACTGGGTTTCCAGGCGATCAGTTCTAAAATTTAGAAAAAATGCAACCATTGGTGTACATAAAATGGGAATGGGAACCATCTGCCATCTGGGCCATAGTCCACCGTAACATGTCATGTTTAGTTTTATTATTATTTTATTCAAATCCCATATTATAATAAATTTTGAAAAACAGAATACAGGAAATATTTTTCGTTTTCAATCCACATATCCCAAAAAATATATAGTTTATAGATGACAACATGACTAGACGAAAAATGTAAGTAACATTATTTTGTTACATACTTGATGTCATTTTTTTTTCAAATGTTGGTTGTTATATGAAAAAAACATTTTAATTATACTATTAATCATGAACTATTAAGATGATAATATAGATAATATTAATAATATCTTAGTTCATGTTTGCAGTAATTTCGACTTATTAATTATTATGTACACGGCCGCGTTCAATACCTAATGTTTATATCTAATTCATAATAATTATGTTCTAATTAAAATACGTCGACATTTTCAAGAAGTTTTTTAACTCTAAGCAATGATATTTGATAGTAAATACGCATACGATCCACAATATAATTATTAGTTTACAGTTTACACTCAACAAATTGGAGGTAGTAAAAGGTTTCTACATGACATACATAGAACTACATGTAGTTCAGTCATTTTTCCATTGGAGTGCTAGCTGTATTTCTCACAATATCGAACAGCTGATTTTTTACAAGATACTTTGGACTCGGTAGTCTAATTTCTACACATACGGTGTTTTGAAATCAGTTACTTTAAAGTTTAAAGTCTGAAAAAATGAAAACTCATCTAAGGTGTAAGGTGTTTTACGCCTACCAGCTGTTTTGGCATCGATGACATTTCGTAAAAATATAATAGATTATCGATTATTAAACTTCTATCGATTGTCTTGATAAAGCTATACTATATTAACACGTAAAATTGTAAACAATCGATCAGTTTGTAAACATAATCTTGAACAATCGATTTATTCGATTGTGACCATCACAATAATACAATAATAATAATATTATTATTTTGTGACTACTATAATAATATCGTATCAGTGTGCGGCCAGTATCAGTGACGAGCACAATTCCGCATCAAAACAACAACAATAACAACAACAGTGGCCACGTTGAAGACGACTCTGGTCGCTTGCGCAGTAGCATTTACACCTCACCTGACTAGCGATGGGCGCAGGACGCCAAGCAGTGATTGACTTGTACAAGACCGTAAGTGTGTGCCAGTGTATGTGTGTGTGTGGGTGTGTGTGTGTGTGTGTGCATTTTGCAAGTGGGTACCCTCCTGCCTATTCCCATATGCCATACTACGGGGGCCGCTGATTTCCGGTGGGGTTGGTGAAATCCGATCGCAATCGATCGGGCTCGTGGGTAGGGTAGGGGTGACGATTTGGCTTCGAGTAGAGTGGTGGCGTTTGGGGGTACTTGTTGGATGCAATCATATTATCATCATCATTCATTACCACTAAACGTCATATTATATTACATCTCATACGGATCCTGAACGTGACGTATTTCACCGAATAAGTACTACGAAATCTGTTTTTTTCTTTACAATACCGCCGCCGCCCACTTAGCACGAGAATCGTTGAATTTAAAAATAGTCTATATTTTATTATTATATTATATCACAATAATAATAATAATAAAAAAAAAAAAAATAATAATAATATATATTATTAAATATACTGTTCAGTTTATAACGGGAGTGTTGAAGACGGAGATTTAAAGATTTTTCTACAGTCTATTTTTAACTCGACGAGTTTACTTCAAGGCAATATTTTGTAAATATTGCAGTTCACCTGCCACCTGTGGGGGTGGGTGGGGCTCATCACACAGCACACAGCACATCACAGATTCGACCTTTCAGAGGACGAAATTATTGTAATATATTTTTGTTACAGTATTTCCGCGTAGGACGACACGCTCCATCATTTCATCGTTGTTAAATTTTTATTTATTAATAATATTCAAATATTACACTTACTACTGAAAAATTATTTTTGTTCCCATAGTACGATTTGTTCAAATACGTTACCGAGTTTATTAGAATATTTTAATATATTTATATCTTCGTATTCAGTGGAGTAACTTGGAGTTAATTTGTGTGGGAAAAATATAATAAGCAAATAATAAGTATTTTTGTTCAATTGTGTCTAAAAATATACATAGTTGTGGTGGAGGTGACACTTTTCTGGTTTTTTATCCCTTAAATCATTTAGCGACTATAAATCTATACCCGCATGTGCATAAGCATTAATAGCTACACTTTAATACTACACTACTTATTAATTACATGCAAATATTGATATCGAACAATATTACAACTAAATAGTAAATAATAATTATATAAGAGTTAATTCATTATTATTTTTAAATTATATAATTTATAATTAACCTTTCCTACCTAATAACTAGTAGAAAAACTACAAATAGTAATATACATAAATTATAAAAATGTCCTTAAAGATAGATGCTAACACAAGTTTTATCTTATACAATGACTCATCACTAAGTTCAATTTTTCACATATTCATTACAATTTACATTTCACAGTGACATTCTTATTGTCAAGCAAGTAGTTGACGAGGTTGACACACTTGAAAAATACTAATACATTAGCCTACAGAGCGAATTCACCAATTTTAATAAAAATATATTATTATATAAATTATCCTCCAAGTCAAATATTAAAAAGAATCATGCAAATGATGATTATTTTCATTTACAGTTTCCACATAGGCATTGACTGAGAGACTGATTATTGTTGATACGTAGCTAGGTGACATAGGTCAAGATAATATGATTAATTTTTTTTTATTGGCTTGGAATTGTTTATTACACAGATATGGACTTTGTTTTCATCTTAAGAGTAATAGGCCATAAGTAGGTAGGAACCAAATTAATCGATTCCAAGAACTATTGCTTAGCTATTAAAACTTAAAATATTATACTATGCCTGTAGTACAAAAATTCTCTAGCCTAAATTTTCATAAAAATGTTTACAGAAGTTTCTTATCTGCCGTTAATTATACAGTGGTATCCAATAAGCTTGAAATTTTAGCACCCAAAGCATTTACAGAATAACTGAATCATGTGTCACTTACTCATATAGTGCAGTAACGTAATTGTATAGGAATGTGCACTTTTGTTGAAAACGGTATGAGGAGAGAATATAGATTAGCTAATCTCTATGTGGTTTGGTGCTTTTGAACCATATAAAAATTACACTAGCTAGGTCTTTATAAAGTATATTCCTTATTATTCAAGTTGTTGTAGCTTAAACACCACACTTTCAGAATAAAACAGTATAATATAAATAAATTATTTATTTATTTCAGCTACTTTACATGGGACGAGACTATCCACAGGGTTACGATTTTTTCCGTTCACGGTTGAAAAAAGCTTTCCAACGTAACAGTGACATCAGCGATCCCGAACAAATAAAGATGTTGGTCAAACGTGGTGAATTTGTTGTCAAAGAGATTGAAGCCCTATACATGCTCAAAAAATATAGAACATTAAAAGATAGATATTCTACAGAGAAGGATCAATCATAGTCAATAAAGATAGTTATTTAGTGTTTTTTTTTTGTATATTATATTATTATTATAAAATATGTCTTTGTATACAGTTTTTTTTTTTTATATGTAGTTTAAACTTTCAAACAAAATAATAAAAATAAAAATGTATTGGTGTATAATGTATATATTATAGGTTAATAATCCATAGTGTGCCGCCAATATAAGTGCATTAAACAGAAAAAAAGCTGTTTTAAATGCAATAATATAATCAGCACAGTATTATCAATAATTTTTTAAGAACATAAAATTTTATGTTTAAAATTAAAAAATATTAAAAACAATTCATTTGAAGTTAAATTTAATTTTAAGACAGAAGCATGAAGTAAATATAAATATAGGTCACATGAATAAGTAACAATAAAAATAAATAATACAATAATATATTCTATTATTTTCCTAAAAGATTCAAGTTGAATTGTCAATTTAATGATAATATATAAAATATTTAGGTATAATACATATAATATTTATTTATGGTGTAGAACAAGAGATCAGATGTAGTTTTTTTCTACAATTAAACATGAATCTTTATCCAATTTAATGTATGCAATTGTTTTTAGAACTCAACAAAACAAATACAAATTTCATAAAAGACTTTTATTGTAAGAACATAAATCTCAACAACACCCCAATTAAGTTTTGACAAAATAAAATATATCTGGTGCAAAACACTAATTTCTAAATTTTAGTCTTACTAAGTAAGTTAAGTTATAAACTTTAATACATTATTTGATAAAAATATATTGAACCTTAACAAATTTGCAATTGATTTAATATTAAAAAAAACCATTAGTGTTCCAATTTTCCTAGTAAAATTAATAGTTGTTTCTTAACTTAAATTATTTGAATTTATTATTTATAATAAATTCTGTTTTTTTAGGACATAGTGTTTTATGTAATTTTAGCAGTTTTATTATACCTCTATTTAGCTTTTTAATGCCTGTAAGCGATTTTTCATTTCTTCTAGGTCACCGTCCTCTTCAACTGTTTCAGTTTCTTGTAATACTGAACCCCCCGGTGTTTCAGTAACTGCCATGGGTGCTTGACCTAATGCCCCAGCTGTAATTTCCCATAATACCTGAAAATATTATATGATTAATTAAATCAAATAATACAAGTTTAATTTAACTATGTTTGAAATTTTAAATGTACTTTATCAATTTCTGATTGAGCTTCTTCTTCCATATCTTCAGGATCATCCATTACATTTTCCATTGTATCATCTAACATTTCTTCAATGATTCCAGCCTGAAATTAAAATCAACGAATAAAACTTATTCATATAGGTCAACCTTACTTTAATATTATACTAACCTTCATCATTTCCTTGGACAAATCTCTCATAGTAGCTGCAACTTCAGGTACTTTGATCAAATTGTGCATTGTCTGCATTACTTCTGTAGACTTTTGCAGTGAACCAGCCATTCTCAGCACAGCTAGAATAAATGGATAAAAATGCATTCAGGTATGCGACTGTGAATATATTACAGTATATTATGAACATACACAACTGGTTTTTCATTTGCATTTGAATAGAACTCATATGCGTCTTGGAAGTAATCAGTTTATTGATGGTTTTGCGTGACCTTAGTATTTCTTTGGCCAGAATGATGCACACATCTTTGTTTCCCTTCTTGGCTGCTTCTTTCATCGAACGTTTAACTTTTTCTTCTTCTCGCTGTATGCCTGTGTCACAAACAGAGCATACCAAACCCCCAACCAATATTGTGATTTATTAAAATGGTACTGTAATTGTATAGGTACTAAAAAAGATGCACTTCTGTTGTATATATTTAACACAATACTAGCACACTTGCCTCTTATCTGTCGGTCCAGTTTATAAATCTCTTTGCGTATGGTTGACGTCCATTGTTTTACCTACGCCACAGCAGAGGAACAAAACGAATTCAAGGGTTAATACGACAAGTCTGCACCATCGTTCAACTACGATTACTCACTTGATCCTTAGGATCGACGGAGGGCGATTTACCGAATAAGCCCATATTGATGGCCGTCTATCTGGAACGCGTGCGTTACCTGTTAATCACGTGCTGCAACGGCGCCACAGTTCATAATAGCAATAGAAACTAAAGTAAAATTAGTCACAACCGTATCCGACGCGACAACGGTAGACGTGAGCTTGGAGCTTTCGCGAAATTTTTCATCGCTTATCACGGTATCGCGCATTATAATATGCAGATTAGCAATAGTATTGTTATCTATATCTTTGCGCGTCGACAACATCGCTTATCACGAATATTGGTCCGCCCCAATCATATGTTTTTGGTGATACCGCAGTGATACTGCGTCTTCTCGACCGTGGTGGTCAGTATCAATATCACGTATTCACGTGTCCATTGTCCATTACTATTTACTGTGCCAGAGACCCGGTCATTCGGCCTTGAACATGACTGCACTGTATAGATAGACAGGCGTCAGGCAGTAGACACAATTATCGCACAGTCCACCTCTTCCGCACAACCTTCCACTGTTCAGTGACCGACGACTGCCCGTTGTCCTTGTCACTGTGTAGTTGTCTGTTGGCACCCTACTACCCTAATCAGCCGATGCCTGATAGTGGCCACTCGTTAGTTAGCAGTGCTCTGTAGTGAAGTGGTAAATGGTCAGTCAGTCTTTCGTTGGTGTCCAGTGCTAAGAGTTTAAGGCGAGTTAGTCTAAACAAACGTTTCCTTCAGTTCGATTGTCGTTGTACAACACCGGTCAAACATGTTTCGATTGATGAACAAGATTTCCGGGTCCACGTTGCCGGTGGTGCAAAAGTGTTTCGCCAGCAGTGCCCCTAAACCGATAATCAACCCACCGATTAAGTACACAGAGGTAGTTACTATAGTTATTGATATTATTATAACTTGTGCCATGTCTGTTTACTTGTTTAATGTTCGATTTCTCCGGTCATTAACTACTAACCATATGCATGGGAAAAAATCTGTTCATAGATTCTGTACCTGTATTTATTGCTAAGTGCCTTAAATATGTTTAGCTCAGATCTGAATTATGCCCATTAAAAATATATATATATATTAGGTAGGTACTCCAAAATTAAAACATAGTTAAATACGAGTATATTATGTGATAATGTTTTGGCATGAGTGTGATATAAGACATAAGAGTGTTAGAAATATCTCATTAAGTAGGTACTAGTGTAACATAATTATTGATTACCTACCTATAATATTAATATAACATTAATAAATATTATTAACTAATAATAATTCAATAGTATTATTATTCCTACTTACTGTTTGTATTTTCTTGTCAAGTGAGATATTATTTTAAAGAACTATAGTCAAGATTAAGATACATCTTTTATGTATTTTGATTTTTCGTGTAAGAAGGTACCCTTATTTATTTTTATAGAAAAATTCTAACAATTTATTAGGCAGGTACTTCATTCATTTTTTAAATTGCCAATTTATCAATGATTTATTAGTTATAATAATAGATTCTGTTCTTGTATATTATTACCAAGATAACATTTAGCGGCTGGGATAATTTTATTTTATGGTACCCTAGGATAGGTAATTAACAATCATAAAATATGAAAACGAATTATCACTGCTGTCTTTCTGTATTTGATCATTTTAATTGGTACAGAACCTTTCGCTTTTTATGATCTATATTACTATATTTATAATTTGTAGTAGTAAAGTATTTTCAGACATTAGGTATTACCCAAGGTATTACCTATACATTCACAGGTTGTAGTAAATTTGATATTTTTAAACTTTAAATTGGTCCTGTATACTGTAAAGATAAGTGAGCTCAAAAATATTACTGGATTTTATATTATCGAATCATCTATCTATTTCATTAGTTGAGATTTAGTAGTTTTATTCTAGGTACCACTTCAATATGAATACCTACATAGGGCTTCTTAGCATTTATATGTTTTCATGTTTCAAAACAAGATTATTCTTCAGCTATTATAATATTAGTATATTTTACTATCCTGCTAACGATTTCTGTGATGCTGTTAACACATAGTAACACTATTATTATTAATCCATCATATAATTAATCTATTGTAAATAATAAAAAAATAATATCTGTAACTATTCTACTTTACTGAACCACTCTGTACCTATAGTTAAAATTATAATTGATAAATTTATTTTCCCAAAAGTTTTATAGATAAGTACCTATACATATACATATTTTTTTATAGCTACAAAGGTGAAAGATTATCTGTAGCTCATTATTTATTGAAGGAAATAAAAATGTTTTATCTATTATTTCTATAGTTAAAATATTAACTGTAAAACAATTATACTAGGTATATATCATGAGAACATTTAAAAGTATATCAGCTCACCACCATAGTTTTCTCTCTCTGACCCATGTGTAACATAGCAAATTTATGTTTAGTAGAATCAACCCTATGTTGTTGTATTAGCATTTTTTTTAATTGTAATAATGTACACACCCATAACTCATTTAACTACATACAAAATAAAATATCATAAAATAGCCAACATAGGGACAGAGGTAATGTTCTTAACTTAAAGTTAAGGTTAGGTTAGGTTAGGTATAAATTCACATCCACACCTAATGTTAAAAGTAATAACACAGGGTTGGTTCTGCTAAACATACATTTACTATAGTGCCCTAACATCATTTTTACACAAACAAGCATCTTTAGATATAACACAAGATAAAAAAAAATGTAATATTTTTAAATATAACTACATAAAATAAATACGTCAAAATACTATGACAGCTCTGTGATTACTGTATATTAATACCCCCATAATTGTACATATTTGATTGATTTATTGATTTTTGTTTTTTTAGTTATTCATTAATAATGAATTTGTAAAATCATCGTCTGGAAAGACATTTGATACACTCAATCCGGCTACTGGTGAACCAATTGCTCAAGTTCAAGAAGGGGATGCTGTATGTTCCATATTTTTAACAGTTTTATTTTCTTGTTTTTTATAATATTATATACAATTGTCCAATGATCTATGTAGGTGGACATCAACAATGCAGTTGCTGCTGCACAAGAAGCGTTTAAGTTGGGTAGCCCTTGGCGCACAATGGATGCCTCAAAGCGTGGTATGCTTCTCAACAAATTAGCAGATTTAATTCAAAGAGATGCTGTTTATTTGGCTGTAAGAATTACTCCCTAATTAATGTATTCTATAATGTTTTGAATTAAATTAAATTAATTTCTTGTTAGACCTTGGAGGCATTGGACAATGGCAAACCTTATAGTGTCGCATTGTCAGACGATATACCTGGAACTGCTGGTGTATTACGGTACTATGCTGGTTGGGCAGACAAAAATCATGGTAAAGTTACCCCAATTGATGGTAATTATTTTGCATATACCCGACATGAAGCAGTTGGCGTGTGTGGCCAAATTATTCCTTGGAATTTCCCCTTATTGATGTTGTCTTGGAAAATTGGACCAGCTTTGGCTATGGGTATATTATTTAATAACTTAAGTTATATACTTTGTATTACAATTTACAATACTATAATATCTATTATAAACTTGATCAGGAAATGTTGTTGTTCTAAAGCCAGCCGAACAGACTCCTCTTACTGCTTTGTACATTGCTAGTCTTGTAAAAGAAGCAGGATTTCCACCTGGTGTTGTAAATATTGTTCCTGGTTATGGTCCAACTGCTGGAAAGGCTATTGTTGATCACCTTGGTGTAGATAAAGTTGCTTTCACCGGTTCAACTGAGGTAATTTACTTACTGTAAAATTATAAAAGTACAATATTTTGATAATGTTACTATCAGGTTGGCCAAATCATAGCTGAAGGCGCTGCTAAAAGCAATCTGAAGAGAGTCACATTGGAACTAGGTGGTAAATCTCCAAATGTAGTTTTCAGTGATTCTGATATTAATCAAGCAGTGGAAGGTGCTCATTTTGGGCTTTTCTATAATATGGTTAGTTTTAAAAATGTATAATTGAATGTAATTTATCAACCTAAACCTTTTTGATTTAGGGACAATGCTGTTGTGCTGGTTCTCGGACATATGTTCAAGATACCATCTATGATGAGTTTGTTGAGAAAAGTGCAAAACGAGCAGAAAAACGTATTGTAGGAGATCAATTTGATCCAAAAACACATCAAGGACCACAGGTCAATTTTATTTTAACAATACCCGTATAATATAATTTTATAAACAAAAATATTTTAATGTTATTAGGTCGATGAAGAGCAATTAAAAAAAATTCTTAGCATGATTGACAGTGGAAAGAAACAAGGAGCTACACTTGTTACTGGTGGATCACGAGTGGGAGACAAGGGTTATTTTGTACAACCAACTGTATTTTCTGATGTTAAAGATGACATGAAAATAGCAAAAGAAGAAGTACATTTTAGTATTACATACAACTTACATATTTACATGATATTTAATTATTTAAATCTACAGATTTTTGGGCCTGTACAACAAATATTAAAGTTCAGTGATTTTGACGAAGTAATCAGTCGATCCAACAACTCTGATTATGGTTTGGCAGCAGCAGTATTTTCAAAGAACATAGACACAGTTAATAAAGCTATCCAGAGTTTTAGAGCTGGAACTGTTTGGTGAGTAATAAAAATCACTTAATTTTTTTTCTTATTTAAAGTGATTCATACATACAGGGTAAATTGTTACAATGTATTCGGAGTTCAAGCACCATTTGGCGGTTTCAAAATGTCTGGTCATGGTAGAGAAATGGCTGAATATGGTCTACAACCATATACCGAAGTAAAAACAGTTATCGTTGCTACACCCCAAAAAAATAATTAATTTATTTTAACGCCATGTTAATTTTTTTACATTTTATATTTATGATTTTTAAAACAAAATTATTAAACAGTGCCATTTTTTTTAAGTTTTATTGTTTCAAAATATTTTAAACAGAAGTTATTATTTTATTGTGCCATTATTGATTATCTAATATAATTACCACAAGTAAACATATATTTTACTTTTTTACTATTGTGTACTATCAATGTAATATTTTATCAAAACAACAAATTTCTACTTCATACCATTCAATATAACAAGTAATAATAGTAATAATAAATTAGTATTTAATAAAATGTAATCACAGCATTTTTAAAATTTTCCTCACACAATACAAGAGAGACTGTCATATACAATAATAAAATCAAAAGTTTTTATTTTTATATAATGTTATAACATGGCATTTTGTAATTTTCTTACATTATGA